TATATATATATATATATATATATATATATATATATATATATATACACACACATACATACATATATACATATGGTTGGTTTTACGTGAGACCATTATGTTTTTGTGAGACCCATGAGACCATTTTTTTACATTTGATACTTCACAACAAAACACTGTAAAAGTAATAAAAAAAAAACAGAACCTTCATAGCAAAAATACTGTGAAAGTTACATTCACAGCGTTTTGCTGTAAAGTTTCAATTGTAAAAATATGGTAACATATATATAGACTTGGGATCACATGAGACCAACTTGTTTTCGTGAGACCCATGAGACCACTTTTTTACACTTGAAACTTCACAGTAAAACGCTGCTATGAAGGTTCCTTTTTTTACCTTCACAACATTTTGCTGTAAAGTTTCAAGTGTAAAAAAATGGTCTCACGAATCTCACAAAAACAGACTGGTCTCACGTGAACCCATCCCAACCCTATATATACATATATTTTCTCTTTTTACTTTAAAAATACTTATTGGTTTCTCTATATTTAAACATTTAAAGTTCATTGTTTGGTATTATAATTACCGTATTTTTTTAACAATTTAATCTTAAATATTTTGATTATTGATAGCTAAGTTATGTGTAAAATGTTAAATTTATTAAGTATTTAAATCAACTCTGTTAAAAAATTTGTTACTATAATGTAATTATCCCCTTTTAAAAACGCAACAAAAGGGTTATCCTCTCTAAAGAATATGTGATGTTTAACTGAGTAGTTACGAAAACAGGGTTTTTTTATCAGTATTTGATAACCCAGTTAAAGATATTAAGTGCGGTAAAAAAAAAGTTATACTGTTTTAAGAATTTATAATTTTATCATTACACAGTCATGTAATTACATTGATAAATCTGATAATAAAAAGATTATAATATCTATGGTTAAAATGGTTACAATGCAATTTTTTTTCTCACTTTATCTGTGTTAAGATCCCTTTATCTGGTAATTTCGGATTACATAATTTCTCCTTATTATTTTTATAATTTTATTTGAACATATGAAATAAAACGAATCAACGGGAAAAGAAGCCCAATTAAATTGATTTTGAATTTGATGAACGATCAAGTAAAAACTTACACAAAAACGTCATATGTATGTATAGTAATTTTAGTGATCTACGTTGTTGATAAATGACTAAAACCCATGTACCTCGTCTTTGATGAGATTAGTTTTTACGGTTAAATTTGATTGACAACGGTGAGCGAGGGTCGAGGTGTTAGGGTTATAAGTCTCTGTTTGTACCCCTCGTTTATCCACCAATGCAAGTTCATCGGCACACATATACACAAACATATGTATATATATATATATATATATATATATACTTGGGATCATGTGAGACCAATGGTTTTTCGCGTGAGACCCGTAAGACCAATTCTCAACCCTTGGATTAGATTTACAATCGTCATATCTGAACATTCATAAACGCCACGAGACTTCTCAATAATTACAAAATTGTCACCTTGCAATTTTAAACCATTAGATTATTAGTTTATAAATTTGATCAATGAACATAAATTGGTCTTACGGGTCTCACGAAAAATCTTTGGTCTCACGTGAACCCAACCCTATATATATATAAGCATGTTCAAACGAAAAGTCAGCTAACGTACAAATAGTGGGAGAAACATGTGATTCTTTGTAAAGTAAATCACATATGATTTACAACAGGTTTAGAAGGGTCGCGTTGACTAGTCCCCTGGATTCTTTTGGTCGTGTAATACACGTGATTTGGTCCTTTTCATGGTTCTCGATCGTAAGTTGATTGTGTTCTTGTTTGAAAGAAAAATGTTAAATATCATGAGAAATGAAAAGTTAATGAAAGGTTCATATGTGATTCGTTAAAAAATTGAACGTGATTTACTACACATGATTTAAGGGTTGTTTACTAATTAAAGCTTACTTGGGTAAGAGCTTACTAAGTCACATTACCTTACCGGATGAATGTGGTAAGAACCAAGAATCTTACCCGTTAAGAGCGAGGCAAGGAAAAGAATATTACCCGGTAAGTGAAGACAATGACTCTTACCACGGTAAGCACTTACCAGGTAAATTGTTGCATACAATATCGTTTTTGAGAACTAAAATCTTACCGTGTAAGTAAATGATAGTGTTGAATTTTATCGGTTAACGCTTACCAGGTAAGTGTTTGGTAAACGGCCCCTTAGCCTTTTTCACATTTCTCGTGAGTTGACTGCATTCTCGTTTGAAAGAAAAATGCAAAATATCATAAGAATAAAAGGTTCATATCTGATTCATTAAAAAATCCATTTTTTTTAAAATTAAATATGCATATATGGGCTGACGTTACAACTTATTTATATAGGTTCATATATGCATCTTCGAATAATTTTTTTCAATAATTCATATATGAACATTCCTTAATTAACATTTTGTTATTATTTTCTCAATCGTAATATTTAGTCTTTTTAATTGAACATTTATTTTATATATATATATATATATATATATATATA